GTTCCCGGGGGCAGACAGACAAAGGCTGCGGGACGGAGGCTGGCATCTAGAAGGTGCCATGCCCTGAAATGGTAGAGGATGGGAGGTACGCTTGGGGCCCTGAGAGGGTCTGCTGTGTCCCTGTTGTTTGACTGTATAGCCACATGATTCCCGTTATAGAATGAGTCTAATAAACTCTGAATTACGGTGTAAAAGAAATACGTGATTAGGCTCGTGAGTGGAATTCGCCAGATCATGAAAGGCGTCCTGATGCTGTTAAATGTTCCCGCTCTCTCCCTCAATTCCTAACCGGACACCCGCCTGCTTTTCTGGGTCCACTTTCTTCTGTCCCATGCTGCCACGTTTCCCCAACATCAGACAAGTGTCACATCAGCGTCCACTCCTTTGCAAAGGAAACCGCTGGTTTCTGCCTCACAGAGAGCCTACTGTGTGCAGAAATAATTGGGGGGCGGTGCCAACGGGAAAAGCGCTTTTGGCTTTCACCTTGTGCTGGGTTTCCTTTTTCAGCAAATTCATGCTTTACCTTTTCTGCATCACGTTCATCTTTTTTCAAGGGGGAAAAAAGTGCGTATATTGCATGCCTCGTATTGGACATACAGAGAGTGCCAAAAAATATATAGAGATACACATTTTAAGAAAGGAAAAAACTGCATTAAAATTATGCTGATGGGAACCACTTTGAGCACCTCTTGTCATTGCAGAAGTCACACGGGACTTGTATTCGTCTTTTGTTATCGGTATATATTATTACAATTTTAATACAGTTTTTTCTTTTCGTAAAATGTGTCTACTTTTTTTTGCCACCTTTGTAAACATTACTACCTCCTGCCTGCATAAATACATGATGGTATTTACAGACTTACAGAATTTGGGGAATAAAGTGCTTCTGGAGACCGAGGCAACTTTTATATGTGAACTTGGGTAGTGAACCAAGGAAGGACCCTGATTTTGTGGACTGTATTCCACAAAATCCGAATCCATTGTTTTCCATGTGGCCAAAAGCAGGCAAATATTTGTTGCGATGTTTGAGATTAGTCAACATGAATTACGCATTATGAAATAAGGTACTTTTCAGGGACCTGAAAAGAAAAAAATCTTAAATCCACCTTACCTTGTCATTAACCTAATCCATCTTTTAGTTATTATGTTACTTTTAGTTATTATCATCCTTTGCGTTATGATATTCACTTCCCTCCAAATTCAGCGTCTTTCATGCATCTTTTTTCCCACATGTAGAGGACACGTGAGAAAAGAAAGAAGCAGTAGACAGCGTTGTTTTCGCAGCATGTTGCACCAGGGGACATGATTCCAGGCGCCTGTTACAGAGTGTTAATTAGTCGAGAACACGCGTCACGATGCCTGATGTCTGCCTGTCGGTCCTGTGTGGGACCCATCACTTTGTATGTTCACCTGCAACTGCTCTGCAGGTGCTCTTTCCAATGGGCACCCGCAGACTCCCCTGTCCGTCTGCCCAGAAACTATTTAATATTACAGCTGGAAATTGGCTTGAAGTGCACCTACTGCAGCTTCTCAAAGACTTAAGTGACCAGGATGATTTTTCTTTTTTAGTAGCGGAAAGAAAAGTATCCCAACTGCTGAGCCTAGAAAGGAAAAGAAGTTTAAATCTTAGCGCCGACCTTCTATTTAGTTGGGGAATTTGGGACTAGTTGTATGATTCCTTCGAAAATACGATTGTACTTGATCAGTGTTATGTACCTTAAGAGATATTCCCATGATGCATTTCAGCGGGAAGTTTGATTGATGGAGACCGTCGTTGGAGGAAATCAAATACAGTCAACATTCATTTGGTTTAGTAAATACGTGTTGTTGCTCTCTCTATGCACTTATTGGCAATTTTAAAAATGTTTCTATGTTTTATCATTTTTACTTATTTATAATGGCTGGCCTCTTTTTTGCCCTTTGCGTGCCTCTGAGTTGCTTCGTTAACCTGCAGAGATAGCTTTCCATATTTAAGCAGAGGGCATCGTCTGAAAGCCTGGAGGAGCCCATATCACAATAAGTGATGGGGTTTCCCCCCAGGCCGGGCAGGGGCACTCCTTTCCCATGAGATGTCACTTCTGTGCCCTCACAGACCTGTGTTTCTCCAAGGTTGATGACAAGTGACTGTACTGGTCACTTTCCCCACCATGGGCTCAAGTCATTCCATGCTGTAAAGCCTGCTGTGTGTCACTTTGTCACCTGTGGCCTTCTCCACGAGCGGTTAAAGGATGAAGCTTAAAACTATCTTTCTGAAACCCAAGTGTTCCATCTTCCAAAAGCACCACTTATGGATCATTAATCAAAGGAAGTAGTTTTCTCCAAGGCAGACGCTGGATGCTCACGCTAAATACTCAGGCTAGCTCGCCCTGGACATCACGCAAATTGTATGTGACTGGGAGGTAATACCCTCTCCCCGTTTCAATTATTTTTGAAGATGGGCTTGTTTGCTGCTGTCTGCAACGTGTTTCTTCAGATAAGTGCAAAGATCATAAAGAGTGGAAGAAGCAGAAAGGGATGTGAGATCGGGGAGCGATGCTCTGATTTAAGCCAGAAAAGGGAGGGGGTGGGAGAGCCCTTGTGATGTGAATCTGACCCTCTTACCCTACACGCTTGCACAAGGGAATTCAACTCTCTGGACCTAATTTCCTCACCTGTAAAATGGGAACACAATGCCAACACTGAATTTACAAAGCACAGGTTTATACAATTAGAAGTAAACAGTGCCCGTGTCAAATTTCAAAAAGCTACTGCTTCGGAGGGACGCTAAGTCAGGGGTTGGCAATTGGTGGCCCGCGGTCCAGATTCGGCACGCTGCCTGTTTTTACAGATCAAGTTTTATTGGCACGCAGCTATGCTCATTTGTGTATCCACTGTCTGGCTGCTCTCCGGCTACCATGATGGAGCTAGCGATTGCAACAGAGACTGCATGGTTTGCACAGCCTTCCATATTTCCTCTCTGCCCCTTTACATAAAAAGTTTGTCAGTCTCCGCACGCAACTGTTATGACACTTTCCCCATTAAAGGGCTTAACATGTTTGCGTTCTGCGGGGACGCTGGGATTATGAAATGTAACAGGTCGGATGTGTGTGAGGTGTAGGGTATATTGTTAGAGCCCCAGATTCCTCTTTCTCCCTCATTTTCAGCCTCACTCCTGGCTCTGCCACCAACTACGTGAGTGACCTTGGGTGACTCACTTTCTCTCTCTAACCCTTAAGATTCTTACCAGTTTTAAAAAAAAGCCAAATAAATAAATGATAGAACCTCATAGGGCTTTATCATAATGGGGATGTCCATATGTATATATATTTTTTCACGTGCAAACTTTCAACCACATTTCAAAATTCTGCAATTACAACATCACATAAATCGAGAGGAAATGTTTTGCCTGAGTCCACAGCAAGCAAGTACTTTACTTCGTAATGTAGGGAGCCATTTCGTAAGGCAGGGGAATGGCTTGACCGTGGACATCTGTGAGGACTGAATATAATTCCTTCTGAGAAGAGAAATGGGCCAGACTCTCGCCTGAAGTCTGCAGGGAATAAATGGATAAATGAATGGCTGGTTTACAGAGGAGAATCAGGGCTACAAACAGGTGGTTTTTACAGTTCCTTTTTTGGCTTCGAAATTTTAGAGTGATCTTTTGGAGGGAACACAGAGATTGGGGTTGTCTCATCTTGGTAATGGAAGTTATACAAGGTGATATAGGCTTAAACTACCCGTGGTTTCAGGCATGCACTGGGGGTCTTTGAACGTACCCTCCAAAGATATGGGGGGCTCTGTAGTATATGGTCTATAACAGTAATATGTAACATGTATATGCCCCACCCAGACTTGCTGAATCAGCATATCCCAGTATAAGTCTTGGGCACCCCCAGAAGCTTCCTAATGTTGATTGTTTGAGAACCAACCGCTTGATCAACAGTATCACGTAACACACCTGGATTAGCCACTTACCCAAAAAAGCAACTATAGAATGGTCTCATCTTTTAAAAACATTTCAAAAGCAACCAGCCAGACCTCCAGCCCTTATATGTCTCAGAGAAAACCAAGAGATTTCAGAAAGTCATTCATGTTTCCATTATTCCAAAAACACGAACGATCCTGAGGAAGAAATAGGGGTAATTTTCATTCTGTCTCCTTCATGTATATGAAGTGAGATGTAACTTACTTATATCCACAGCAGATGGTATGATAATTGGAGTTCTGGACAGCGTTTTCTGGGGGAGGCGGCCTGGATCACAGCCGTCTGTGAGTCAGCTGTGATTAGCAGCATTGACACTTGCTCAGTGTGTGGCAGTAAAGGAAGAAGACTCCCTTTTGCTTTGCACCTATTTTGTCATCTTTGTCCACACATTTAAGATGGAGATTGGTAGAGTAACAACTCCACAACCTAATTTCTCTCTCTCTCTCGACAGCTGAGCAGGTTTTGGCTTCTGAGACAAACCAGAAATGGTGACATGACAAAAGTGGATGGTGTCCATCTGTCATTCCATTGGCAATGTGAGAAAAAGAAGGGGTGTTTCTGCTGATCACTTTTGCTGCTTTTATCCGATAGGAGGATCAAAAACTACAGGGACTACTTAGATAAAACAATTACAAATATAAGCTGCATTTCTTTTTCTTTTCAGAATTTTCAAAGGCCATTCCACCTGCTTACCTATTTTATGTCAACCAACCTAAACTGAGTTTTACCGTGTCTTAGAGAAATGTATCAGTTTTGATACAATGGAAATTCGTCTGGGTTGTCGTGGCACGGAAATACCTAGAAGGATCCTTCTAGATTAGAAATAGGACCCAAATGCATGTATCTTACTGTTTGGTAGACTCCATGTTAATTTGAGGCTTATCAGGGGGCATCGTATTTACTGCTCGTTTTCATCTGTTCTACATAGAAAGGGCAACTTTTCACGCATCGACCACGGTACAAAGAGACATGGATTTTTTTGTTGTCATCCTTGGTCCTTGAGTCATAACGGTTCCTCTTTCTACTGGGATTTCAGATCCATCTGCACCTCCAGCTCCAGCCAACCTCCGGCTCGCGAACTCCACCATCAACAGTGACGGGAGTGTGACCGTGACTCTTGTTTGGGACGTCCCCGAGGAACCGGATATCCCCGTGCATCACTACAAAGTGTTCTGGAGCTGGGCAGTCAGCCGCAAGTCATTTGTCCCCACGAGAAAGAAGCGGAGAAAGACTACAGACGGGGTAAGTGGGTGAGAGCCCAAAGAGAGAGTGGCGTCTTCTCGCAAGGGGCACTTGAACGCAAGGCCACCGATCTGAAAAGCAGCCTCTGCTGAGCTAAGAGGAGTGGGGGTGGGTGAAGGGAAGGGTCCCTTCCCTTTCTTTTTGACCGAGGAGGTTCAGAGAATGGTGGACCATGCTAGTGGTTTTGCCTTTCACGTTGTCAGTGAAAACAGTTGCATTGATTCCATTGACCTAGTCATGGCCAAATAAATGGTCATCAAAACTCCAGGAATGAAAGGAACAGAAATTATTTTCATCTCACCTCTCTAGTCATAGAAAAATGATATAATTCAAAATGTCCTTCACATGTAGGTGATTTTTGTGTGTTTTGTTTGAGATCCCTTTAAATTAAAGAGCCAGTGTTCACGGCATTTCTGTTGCAAGGTGTTCCCATCTGTAGTCATTAGAACAGTAAACAGCTTAGAAAATGCATGCGTGGCCATCTACAGAGGGTGCCAAAAAAAAGGAATACCAATTTTAAGAAAGGAAAACACTCTATTAAAATTGTAATACTCAATATATACCGATAACAAAAGAGGAACACAAGTCACGTTTGACTTCTGCAATGACAAGAGGTGCTCAGAGTGGTTCCCATCAGCGTAATTTTTGAAGATAATAGTTTAGGGAGAGTGATATGCATTCCAACAAGAGACCCTAACTGAAAGAAATTGGCACTTGGCAGTGTGTGCGGACATCCCATAGGTTGAAAGAGGAACAAATCATAGACACAGACAATACTTGAGTGGTGACCAGAGGGTAAGGGGGGAGGGGGGTAGTAGATGAGGGTAAAAGGGATCAAATATATGGTGATAGAAGGAGAACTGACTGGGTGGTGAACACACAGTGTGATATATAGGTGATGTATTACAGAATTGTACACGTGAAATCTATGTAACTTTGCTAACCATTGTCACCCCAACAAACTTTAATTAAAAAAAAACAATTTAAAAAATCCATGATGAGGCCCAGGGAGAATTTCTGCGGCCACAGATACCAGCTAGTGAATGCTGAGAGCTGTCCCAGCCCCACCGGGGAGAAGGTTTGCTCTCAGCATTCCCCTTAGTCATATCCGCCTTCCAGAGCCGACCAATGGAAGATGGTCGAGTTCTGATACCTAATCCCTCAGAAGCCCGAATCAGAAAATGCTGCCATCTATTAATGTACAGTGAGCATTATTAGGCTCACGGTTCTGGAATACCCATGAAAGAATCATGTTCTCTCTCTGAAAAGAGATCTTGCAAGACCCAAAATTATGATCAGGATGCTAATAAGGGATTACGGAATTTAAACAAAGGAGTTACTTATGCGATTCAGTGTGTGTTGATTTCAGGCAATGCCTTTACTATCTAGCACATAGCATGCCCCCAACTGGAATATCTTTGCTGGAAAGCATGTGCTGTTATGTGCCTGCTGTTTGGTGTGGCATCCGTGATGGACAGGTTTTTCTCCTTCATAAATATCAACACTACCAAGTGGACCATTTATAGACAAGTCTCCTTTAGCTTAGGAGCCATTGGATAGCATCGTACGCATTATATTTTGACAAATGTTTTGACTCCTAAGACAAAAAAAAACCAAAACCAACCGTTATTCCTGTTCATTATAAGTTGTTGCACGGGACTTTATTATTGTACCATAAAAATTCACTTAAAAAAACCCCCACTGGATTCAAAGCTAGGAGATCTATGTTTCCATCTTGGTGCCACCTTCAAATACCTGATTCGCCTGGAATGTCACCTTATCTCTTGATTGTAGTAGAATTCCTGTCTGGCTTCAAGCTCGTGGGAAAATGACATTGTTTTGAGTTGTTTTTATTTAGTATGGGGCACCACACACAGACAATTGGGTGAGCGTTTGATATTAACCAATATAACGGCAGAAAAAATTTAAAGCCTTATGTCGGGCTGATTTTTCCTACTACTTTTGGTGGAAATGTACTCGTAGAATTGGACTAAACTATCAAAGACACACAGTTAAGGGTCATTTGTAATTTTCCCAGTAGATGCCAACATGAGCCTCTGCTAGCTTCTTTCTAACAGCTCTTTTTCTCTGTGAGGTGGCATCTGGAAAGGGGGCGGATCCAATAATTAGACTGGGCACACAACTTAAAAAGCAAACAAACATGTTTTTACCTTTCTGCGAAATTTACATTGATCAGTTCGTCAGTCTGGGTTTTTGGATGCTCACGATGAAGAAACGCGTGTGCTCTTGGCAGATCACAGGGCTGCGTTAAGTAGGAACTGGTCTGCTCCCTTACGATGCCCCCAAGGGGGTCTGCGATGAAGGTGGGCAGCAGCGAGGGTTTGTCATAGAGCTTGTGTGTGTCCTGGTCCTTTGCAGTCTCAGCGCTCCGTGACCCTGGAGAGGCTGCAGCCAGACTGTGACTACACAGTGGAACTCCAGGCCATCGCCTACTGGGGACAGACCCGTCTCAAGAGTGCCAAGGTCTCACTTCATTTCACGTCCACGCATGCTGCCAACAACAGTAAGTGCTTTCCGGGCTTATGGTGGCGTTTCCTACCCACCGAGCCATCGGGTCGAGACAGAGCACAGGCAGAGCGAGGGTTCCCTTTGGAATCTTTCCATGACAAATCTTCATGTCGATAAGTCCGTACCAATGTCCTTAGAACAACAATGCCCCAAACACTTTTTACCTTTGAATTTTTTCTTATGATTTGTATCTACTTGACGTGGAAGAGTTTGGTGTCGCCATGGAAACTGAACAGGAACTCGTGTTGTGTCCCATTGTAGCAAGTTTTTTTTTAGATTTGCATAACCTGAGGCCCTTGGGCATATGCATGCTTGCTTTTAGGGAGAACACACAGGTACACTGTTACAAACGCTTGCTTCCCTTCTAAAAACGTGACGCGCCCATTTGGTGCTCGTAAGGGCTGCTTGAGAGGCTACCCAGTGTCCACGGAGTGAAGTGACTAAAACATGCCCCTGTTGATTTTCCGTGTTTCCAGTTGTTCTACACTGGCATGTTTGCCAAGAACTGATCAAAGCAAGACAAGAGTCTCGTAGGACACTCATAAGTGAGCCAGAAAAACCCGTTACCTGGGGCTCCTGGCTTTGCTTGGGGGCCGGGGCTGGTTAGAAGGCCGTGGAGAAGCTGGAAGCGAGGTTTCTGGGACTGGGCTGGTCAAAAGAGGGAGAGTCTGGGGTCCGAGGATGTGGGGGTGTTGAGCCCAAGGCTGGCAGGGCCCATGGTGTCTGGGCAGCGGGCTTGGTTCACAAGGGGAAGAAGAACATGCCCAAAGCTTGTTTGGGTGTAGGGAAGCCAACTCCATAGAGCTAGACGTGCTGACAACTCATAATCATCTTCTACCACCTGGGAAAAAAATGGATCCAAATGGTGCTCCCCAGAAAGTTCTAGAAACAGAGCTTCCTACCTTTTTGAGAAGTCATCCTTTTGGAGAATCCGTAGGTTTGAAAAGCCTGCTGTTTCTCTGTAGATAATCTTTATATTCTATTATACTGCGTGTATGCTACTATTCTTGGGTACAGTACAACTTTTACCTAAAAATTCTCATGGGCATGTGTCTATGTGTTTAGTCACTTCGTTGATATGTATGTATATTTTAAATTCGGCCATCCAGTCATCTAACTGAAATGTATGCGTAGGAATTAAGACACTGCTGTGTCGCGGGGTGGGCCATTTATTATGTTATATTATGCTGTAAACATATGTACACTAAATATTAGGCAGCGTATGTAGACTATCGGCACGCTATATGGTACACATGTACCCTGTATTGACATGCATATGCGTGTGCACAGATACACGCATAGGCATGCATGCGTATTTGTACACATATGCAAACACACACGTGCACACACAGGCACGTACGCATCCCTCATGCCAGCACTAGACTCATTTCATGGCTCTCCACCTTAAAAGCGCCTGACGTTGAATTTGGGAGATGAGCGAGTAACGATGGTTACACAACGGTTAGGCTGCCCCACTCAGAGCTGGAGAGAGCCGTGGGCTCCAAAGACCGCAACCTGATGGTGGGGCGAGAGCCTGCGTGTTCCCCGCTGAGTCCGGGACACTGAGCGAGGGCTCCGAGGATGCACAAGGCGTCGGCTGTCGCCCCACAGACACAGCAGCAGCATGTGTGAGTGCAAGGGGCGGGGGGAGGGCACTGGGTGTGCGAAAGCTCAGCGTGGGGGAGGGGAGGACAAGCATGGGCCAGTTCTCTCCCTGGGGGCTCCCAGTGGCGCCTGTGAATTTCATCAGATCCGTGTGTTAATCATGTCCCTGAACTCGTACACTCAGCTGCCAGCCCAACCTGCCCACTCGGATCGCTAACGGGCATTCCCACTGTCACATATCCAAATCCCAGCCCCGTTTCCCTCTCGCTCTGCCCCTCTCCCCGGCTCCCCCACCTCAAATGTCTCCACCGTTTGCCCATCTGCTCAACCCAAAGACCGGCAGGTCATTCGTTCTCCACGCTTCTCTTTCCTTTCTCCCCAGAAACCCAGTTCTCTAGAAGCTCCTTTTGTTTCTGGTTTCAGACTCTATGTGGGATCTGTCCATTTCTTTCCCAAGTTCAGGCCTTTGTCACCGCGCTCTTACACAATTAAAAGACTCTCCGAATTAGCAGCTCCATTTCCGCTCTTTCTTAAATACCCATTTTGTAGATGGAGATATTAATCATATCATACATTTCTCCCTCTGCGGGGCTCCTCTCACAAGATCACCAGCTACTTACCTTCTCTTTTCGCTTCTCCCAAAGATTCATCCTCCACTGCTTTCCTTCCAACTTCCTCCTCAGACCCCAATTAAAGTTCTGCTTCACCCATAACCTCGTTTTCTCTTCCTGGTCCTGAGGCTTTCATCTATTGTGTGAGAAAAAATGGGCCTTCCAGCCTCCTCCTGGTTGTTTCCAATAAACAGCATTCCTTCCCCATGAGAAAGTGCTGTGGGATTGCGAACTCCCGTAATTTAAGACGTGTTCCTTCCCGCAACCATGAACAAGGAGAAAAGAATCCCAACCTCAGCTTGCTTATGGCTGAGGTTACGTCATCTAGAGCCTTGTCATGGCCCAGCCCAGACAAAGCTTGGATGGATGGCTGCGTCTCCACAGCACAGCTAAGGCCTCCTCTGTCTTCCGGGGGCATCTCCACACAACCCCGTAACCTCCGGGACGTCCTCTTTAATCAGCTCCTTCTCCCATCCTCCCAAGTGTGATGACAGCTCTTTCTCCCTTACCGTAAGCCATCTGAGTTCCTCCCTCTCGGTAAGCCACGCAGCTCCCCATAAATGTAAGTGGGTGTCCCCCTTCACCTATGATCTCCTCCTATCCTCTGGAATCTAAGGCAGATGTGTCATTTCTTTTGCACGTGGTAGACTCCACTACGTGGGGTCTTGACCCATTCCTTCCTAACTTGAAAAGCTATATTTATCGGACCAAAGTCTTACCTGTGTCATAGAACATGGGTTGTCTGTGTGCGTGTGCGTGTGTGTGTGTGCCTGCCTGTGTTTTAGCAGCCATTGCGCCCATTCCTGGGCTCCATGAGCCTCTGCATACAATAAATCCCCCACTTGAGAACAAGGTTTGTTCCAGGAGAACGTTCATAAGTCGGATTCGTTCACAAGTCCAACAAAGTGAGTCTTATAGACCTTTGACACAAATATACAATGTAAAGCCAATGGTTGAATGATTCATGTTGTAAGAATGAGTGATGTCTACCATCTTTTCGACTCGGTCCAATCTCTCAATTATTTTCACTTTTATTTCCATGGTTATTGCTTTGCGCTTCCTAGCAGTCCGCTCCACATCACCACTGCTTTTCCTCTGGCTTTTGGACATCCCGGGCTCTGACTGAGCCCTGTACTACTGTACGCTATCGCACTGTACAGTGAGCACACAGCAGCACAACTGGGACGTCCGGCAGACACGGGAGCCACTTTTGCGATTTGTTTGCATCTACGAATGTTCGTATTGCGAGGTCCGTTCGTATCTGTGAAAGTTTGCAACTCGAACGTTCACAAGTTGGGGACTTACTATATTCTGTTTGCTCCATAGACGTCTGTGAAACTGAGTTCATCATTTATTCCGTCTCTTATCTCCAGGCTCCACCAACCCCTCGGCATTGGAGAGGTTGATTCTCAGCGGCTAGGACATTTTCTAGCTCTCTCTTAAAATTAGATAATGTTTTACCTGACCAATCAAGAGAGGTGATAGTTAACCTGCCAAATGCCACTTTATTCTCAGGATGAATTGATTCCTCTCCCATGGCTTCAGCAAAGTAATAAAAGGAAAGGAAAATAAAAGAAGCCATACTGCCAAGTATCCTTAGTAACACGTGCTGTGTGGGTCTCAAGGGACCCTGCAGAAGAGACTGGCTTTCCAGAGGATTATGCAGGGGACAGCTGAGTATTTTATATCCCAGCGTTGATATATAACCTCATAAACACGAGTGGAGGACTTTTACGAGTACACTCTATATTTCATCACGAACCAACTGGAAGTAAAGAGTAATTACAACTTTATGGTATAAGCAAGGGAAGTTCTACTTTAGAGGAAGGGGAGTAGTAAATGTCAGTGTCTAAATTACTTTTTGAATTATGTCTTTCCAGGTCTGCAGGCTACTAGGTGTTTTAATGATAAATATTTCGGCGGACATAAAGGCCAAGTGTTCGTGCCGTTTTAGAAAACGGTGCCTTCAAGGAAGAAAGACATAACCCTGCCTTTAATGGAAACGTGGCTTGCTTTTGGGGAGGCGAGAGGAATATTTCCAGAGCTGACACATTCCACGTGCTTTAGAGTTGGAATAGAATCCTAGCTCTGCAAAGTAAAAGTGAACTGCAGGGAAATAACGCTGAACCTCTCCATCTCCAAAATTCATCAACATGTTGACATTTGATAAAATACACATAGCCCAGAAGCCGGCTTTTGTGAACTTTTAGGACTGTTAAAGGGTATAAATCAGGCCTCCTGTCTTCACAGAATATGGTAGGAATGATTTTATTCCATTTTTGTTGACTGCAGAAAGTGGAGGACATCCTCACAGCATCAGGGACACGCTCGTAGGACGGA